CACTGCATAAGACCACTCGTAAAAAAAATAAAATAGAAGACTAACTAGTAAAACATGTATGGGAACTCAAGAGGGGGAGAACTGAGTATGGATGGGGTGAATCCTCAGGGTTGCACAGTTTGGTGGACGGATGGAGGGAAGAAAATGGGAAAGATCTGGGAGAAAAGACAAGGTAATGATGGGTAAGGTCCTATGGTGATTAATTTTATAAAACATAATGCATGAGATGAGAATGACTGCATGAAACACAATGAGAATGAAGAACAGTGTGAAACACAATGTATATAACTTTGTAAGCAAACCATTTTTTTTTAAGAAGAAGCAAACATTTGTAAAGAAGTCTAATTTTTTTAAAAAAAAAAATCAGTGTCTTGGGCGCACTAACAACATTTGGAATGTTCAAGAATCATAGTTTGTGGTTCCCATAATGGACATTGCACAATGGTCTGGAGACATACCGATTACTGCAGAAAGCTATTCTTGCACACTACTGCCTCAGAAAAAGAAATCATCACGTTTTCTAGATTTTTTCCTTTTTTTTATTAATTTCAATGAGCATTTATAGAGATTTTGGATTTCCATTCATTGTTGCACTTTTCTCCCCACCCACCCCAGCCCAACTCCACTCTATTCGAAAAGCAAAAGAAAAAACTTCATTGGTATTCAAAATCCCCCGCAAGTTTTCTAGATTTTGATGAAGAACTCTAGCGTTGCTGTAGGTGCAGATTTGGGATACTAACCAAAAGATTGGAAGTCTGAACCTAACCGCTGTTCCTAGGGACAATGATGTGGCAGTATGCTTCTGAAAAGCTTTAAAGACATGGAAATCCTATGTGACAATTCTACTCTGCCCTATGGAGTCACTATGAGATGAAATGAACTAAATGGCAATGAGTTGTGGAATTTTCACTAGTTTAGACTTTTAAAAAAAAATTTTATTCTTTTGTGTGTGTACCGTCAAATCAGATCTGATTGGTAAAGGAGGAGATTATCCCTCCTTCTCCAGCAGAGCATCTGGTGGATTCAAACCGCTCACCTCTTGGATTGCAGTGCCACTTCTTGCCAGAGCACCCTTACTAGTTTAGACTTCTAACATTTCAGTATCTGTAGTTTTGGCCTTTTTATCTAGAACACTTATCCATATCCTGGTAAATTTATATTAACCTTTTATAAACGATCTCAAATCTGTCTCTTCTTGGGATTATTTCTTGAAACTCACAGTGGGTTATTTTTTTCTGCTTCCATTGTATCTCGTTTTCCTTTCAAGTACTCTCATTTCTCTGGCATACAACCCTAGTCAGAATAGGAAACTACCTGTCACTTATTCTATCTTTGTGTTTAAGTTGAATTAAACTTTACTTTTAGTCACAATCAAGAATACATAAGCCACATGTGCCTCAGTTACATCAATCGTTAAGACATTTTCTGGAAAAATTAAGAGGTGCTCTCTTCCCACCAGGACTGCTGGTGCAAGTCTGGATGTGCTATTATCATCTTGCCATCAAAAAATAGATCTTATCACCTACGAATGAAGGCAGCTTAGAAGAATACAAAACCAAGAGTGAAAAACAGATCATGGATAACATCATTTCACACTAGGCTACAGTTGTGTTGTAAGAGTTCTCTGTCACTGAACTTTAGATACTGGGGCCCATATGATCTTGATTTTTGTACATGTTAGTTTGTACAGTGTTGTCTCCAATAGTCTCTTTTTAGGCATTTGTGCTCAGCTTGTTCTAAGGTAACAACATGGTACTTGCTACTTCTCTCAACTTTCTTTTGTTCTACCTCTTTGACCAACCATGGCCATTCTTAATTGGCCTCCTATCACAGGTACCCATTATGTACAAGGTTTTCCAGGAGGCCCTGGGAACCTATATTAAAATATTTAATGACTTTAATACTCAAATTATTTTTTGACATGATAATCACATGTAACAGAGTCCAAGATACACTTTATCTGCCAGCCAAATATTTTATAAGTTTCTTTAGATTCTCCAAACTTCACTTATATCTATCTGTTTGTGTTTTGTACCGTCAAGTTGAAACTCTTATCTGACATTCCAGAGGGGAGGATTAAAGTGTTAAGTTTTAAGCTAACAAGTGAAAACCATGTGTGTCCCCCCCAGGGACCCAACTGGCTGAGAAGTCTCCCATAAGTGTAACTATTCTTGATTCAACCTCAAACTCTGATGAAAAACCCACCTGCTCTCTCAAACAATGCATTCCACCTGAAATTGGGTAGAAGAAGAAATGATTCATTAACAATGATTTAGAAACAATGACTTTTTTATATATTTTATAAATGTTTAATATATGTTTACAAAATATGAACAAGAAGTACTCTAGAGGACCATGCACATGATAATATTGTCTTTTATTAGAGATCTTATATTACATAGTCCCAAAAAGATATAAAATCTTCCAAGATAAAATATCAAAACTTGTTGATTCCAAGGGGAGCAACATAATCAAAATGAAAGCAAAGATTTTATTCCAGACAAAGGCATGTGGAGACATTTCGGCATTAAGCACAACAAAGACATAAAAGGTAATTACACCATTTTACAATACATTTTAACAATGTCTTGTTTTAACCAGTATTTGTAGAAAACAAAAATGCTGAGTTCTTAAACATTGTAGCTGTAACATCAAATAAAAAATTCTGAAAACCACAAAAACACAAGAACACAACGAACTACTTGGTCAACTGACAACCGTAACACATGTAATAAAACCTCAGCAAACAAATGCATCAGCGAAATTACTGCTAAGTGTATGGTTTTTCAGTGTGCACCGGTGACACTGAATTATTTACTCAGTTCTTGACCACAACCCAAAGCAAAAGCATCCTCTCTTCATTTCCCTGATGATGTATTCTAAAAATAACTTGAAAAAGCAGATGCTTGCTGGTTAAAGAGACTTTCTGCTTTACCTGTGAACAGCTGGTGGCAACACACAATGAATAAGACCCCGACAGACATATGACAGATCCCTCTCAATCAACCAGAAGTGGCAAAACCACTGTTATTGCATCAAGATTTTTAATTTTTTTTTTTATTTCAGCTGATCAGGGTTTACAAAGTGATTTAAGCATATCCACTGAACACGGTGCACTCCCACAGGAAGCTATACATTTTAGATGCAACGGAAATACTGATCTAATTTTCGGGATTTGCTTCTGGCAACTCTTACATCTGTTGATGTCCCTCAAAAGGAAGCATTATTCTTTTCATCTTTTTTCAGTTGTTTATCCTCAAAAAAATCCGGAAGAAAATTTACAGTACATGTTTATTGCGTGAAATTACCCCTCCTCCTTGTAATATCTCTATCAGAAGTCATATTGTTTTCTTAGTTAGTAAAGGCAAAAGTAGTTTATGAACTTAGCATCACAATAATTTTAGGAACTGCATCTTGAGTGAAAATCCAGGTGATAAAATACAAGGTGAAACATACACACACACACACACACACACACACACACACATTATGTTTTAATTTCTGCTAAGAATGTTGGAACGAGAAGAGGTAAATGGATGTCAAAAACCAGACAACACTAATTTTACTAATTAACACAAAGAAAATTTTCAAAACTGTACATAATCAATCCTTCTCAGGCAAAGTGAACAACCTAATGTTGCTTGTGTTTTAAAATTAAGGAAACACTGATCTGATATGGATTTTATTAAAAGTACTTTAATGGCACATGGGCTTCCATTAGAAGTCTCCTTTGAGTTTAGCACGCATAAAAGTTTGGAACTGGTTGAACAAACAACTCCCTTAATAAATCATGTTAAGCTACATGAGCAGGCTTGACACAATGTCTATTTAAAGCCTTCTTGCTTCAAGATGGTTCACTACTGTGAGATGGAAACAGTATCTGGATTTTGCCTGTTACAAAATCCTTGCATCAAGTTGCAGTTTCCTTGGCAGCAGCATATTTTAATTAACAATATTTTTTCTTCCATGTTTTGTTTTCTGACATTTCCGTACATTCAAATAGTCAAAATGTTTAGAGTAACATCAGCACAAGTTTAATGAAACAGATCAGAATGTGGCCAGCATTGTCAGGCAAAAATTATACATTTTATGTATCATAAAAAGTATCCACCCCTCCCTTTGCCCACCCCAATGCCCACTCCCACCCCCAGACAGTAATATGGACACCAAAAGATTTAACAAGACTTATTAAAAAATAAGGCACATTCATTTTGATATGGTAGTTTTAAAATAGAAAACCCCCTCTCACAACACCTGTATTCAAATGAGCTGTGTAAAAAGACACCTGTGGTACCTAAAATAGGTTTTTGGTACCTATGGAATTGCTTCTTCAATTTGAGTGACAATGGAATAAATTGCACCTATCCCATATTGTCAAGTAATGAAAATATGCCTCTTTTTTCTACAGCTGAATGAGTCAGAATCTGATACTTTTGGAACTATTTAAAAATGGTAATAAAGGAAGGGTCAAGAGGTACATTAGCAAAAAGGCGTGGAAATCAAAGAATCCATGATTGCACTTCTCCATTTACTTCAATACACAAAATTTCTCTAACTCACATCAATGACTGCAACCATTTTGGCCATTAGCTATTGCCACCAGCTTTTATTCCCTTTCAGTGAAATGGTATTTTTATAAAATTATAGAAGTATCAGCAACATGATTACTTATAAGATTCTCTTCACAACCCCCAACACAGACATAATTTGTTAGCGTTTAACCTGAGATACAATCTGCTGAAAGGTTGTCTTTAGATATTTCTTCCTTTGTTGCTTCAATGTATACTGATGGTGGTAGTCCATGGAAGGAACTTAAAAAAACAAAAAAAACCTGGTTTATAGCATGGCTTTTTTTTTTCTTTCTCACTGTGTTGGGGGGAAATATCACAGAATTCATTTTCTCACAGTAGCCAGAAGCTAAAACAATGTGCTTCTTTATTGCACGTCAAACCAAGAAGGTACAAAAGCCAATGCTTCCCAATCCGAATGTAAAGCCAGGTTCACCTCAAACGGATTCGGAATGTGCTGATTTCCATGGGACTCAGGCGGATCTCACTTATATTCCGAGCATCTGGAGGTGAATGCATCAAGGATAATGACGAAGGTGTGAGACTTTCAACAACAAACTTGTTAAAAAGTTTCTGCACCAACATCTAAAAAGTAAATGACAAAAAAAAAATAAAAGAAAATTGGCATATTTAGATTCACCATGAGTACAGATTAGTAGCACATCTATATATTCACTGAAAAAGACGAGAAAGAGTAAAAGAGATCCTCTTTTTCATCTATATACAAGCAATGTCTATGTCCGCAACCCTCACAATTGCAAATGGTTACAGTTTGTCTCACTGTTGAAACTATTATTCTTTTTATATTGTTCTTGCCTTCTTATAATGGTCAGGATTTGCAACATAATGTTGTTACAGGGATAGTGGATATCTTTGTTTATTCAAAATTTCAGAGACAAAACTTTTGACATATCACCATTAGATGAAACAATTTTTACTCTAGCTCTTTTTTCTTTTTTTCCAGGAGGGGTATACGCCCCTGGAGGAGGGGGGTGGAACCAACCAACCAAACAAACAAAAAAACCAGGGTGGCCTAGTGGTAAGAAGCTGTGCTGTAATCCCAAAGAGGAGTGGTTAAAATCAACCAGCTGCTCTGTTGAAAAAGGATGGGCAATCTCCTCCTGTGCGAGTAACTGCATCTGAAAACCTGCCAGAGGTTCAGCTATGGGTCAAATCTGACTTGACATACACAACAAACAACAGTTACTATATGGATTATGTTGTTGTTGTTGATTGCCTTAGAGTTGAGCATGACTCACAGCAACCCTATGAACAAAAGGTCTGAAGCCCCTCTACAACTGTGGATGTTTATCAAAGTTCATAGAGTTTCCAGAGGCATGTTATATTTATCAAAATATTTCGCCACTAGTTACTCTAATTTTCATTGTGAAGAATTATATCAGGTGAAATCGTAACATGCTTTGCATTCCATTCTATATTGCTTGAAATGGTATCATATGCAAGATTACATTTTCAATTAAAAGAAAAAGAGAATCTATGACGTGTAGATTTTAAACATTTGCATTTACTTTCAAGTTCCTGAGTGGTAAAAGTTGTAGAGTACTTAGCAATCCCTGGAAGGAGGTTTGAATCCACCTAGAATTATCTTAGAAGAAAGACTACGTGATCTGCTTTTGAAAAGCCTTATGAAATATAGTTCTGCTTTGCACAAAAGGGGCTATCATGAGTGAAAATGTCAAAGGTAACTGGTTTGGTTTTCTTTCATTCAACACATCACTAATACTAGGGATTTTAAGCTATGTTTCCTCTGTTTCTAATACACCTGAGAGTTAAGATATTGGTTCATAAGGAGGCTCCTCAGAGGGAGCTCCAGCTCTAGAGTTAGGACCCCTCTCACCCCAGTCAGTTTTCATACTATGTGTATCATAGAATCATTTGTGGGGAAAAAAAATCTTAAAAGTTAAAATACAAGGTCTCAAAGTGAAATAACTTCAGATCATCAATAATGAGGTCGAAGAAAGTCAAGGGAAAAATGATAATCAGTATTTTCTTAGCATCTTCTCCATTCAAGGTGGGTAGAAGAATGGAGCTACTTGCCTCCGCAGCAGATTTTCTTTTCCCCTTTTTTTTTTAGAGCCTATCTACATTCTTGTTTGCAGGCTTGAAAATGAATCTCTTAAGCCTTGGGCTGTTGTGTATCTGAAGAGCTTTAAAGGGGAGATGGTCAGCTGAGTTCTGAGGAGGCCGACTTGCCTGCATGCTAGGACCAATGTGACTGTCTTCTCTGAATTTACAGTCACACTGAGACAGAAGCAGAGCACTGAGGGTTGTCAAGGAAATCTTGACGTACTGCCAGCTGGTGTAACTGATCAGAAATAAGAAAGGAGGAAGTGGGCAAGTAGTAGCCAGCCTTAGGACCTGTTGGCTCATGTACAAATCTTGACTAATTAGAAGATCTAGACCTGCATTTCCTACAAAGACACAACCTAGGGCAGCTGCCCTGATGGTGGCCCCCGACTTACCGAGTAGGCACAGCCTCAGCAATATGATCTACTGCTCTCGCCATAAGGCATTAGTTGCTTTAAGACCTGCTTTGAGCCCTGACTGGCATGGGTTTGCCCTTCCTAAACCAGACTGGATGTCAGTTTGTGTGGCCCAAGGAAGAGGAAATGTGAAACAAATTCCCTTCACATGTGGGCCTGTGTAGACTGGGTATTTTGATGCTGACAAGGAAAAGACACCAAGACTGGGAAAATGTTTTCTTAAGATGGCAAAAGATGAGTCAAAGTGCAGGCTTCGGGGAATAAGTCTGAGAAGAGGAAATGAAACATCTTCTTATTGTCAGGATTATTTGTCAGAAGTGTGGATTTTAAAACACATTACTCCAACAAGCAAAAACTACCTTTCAACTTACCTTCCCCTGAGTAGTGGAGCAAAGCAGCCCCATGTCTTTGCTCTGGAACCGGCAGTCGAAGCCCTTCCTATGGAGGATCATTGCCGCCTCATCAGAATGCCCGTTACCCACCTGCAAACAAGCAGAATGCCGACAAACCTGACATTAACGCATATACTTACAAAATTTCATGGGCTGTTGTTTTGATTTCAGCACCCCCCAAAAAACAAATAATCATTTGATTAAACAATGCAGTTGGGCAAAGCTATCCTAGCCCTCAGACTCCACATTCATTAAATAACACCCTCCTTCCACTTTCTATCAATCTGATGGTAACATGCTCCAATATGACTTGTTCAGTACCCTCATACCCTGGTTTCCTCTCATAGTCCCTGATGGACTTGAGTTTTACTTTTTCTACGTACTGCACATTATTTTATCAAGGTTCTTAGAAAGAAACCACTTCACTTTTATTTTAAATAATACAGATCAGCAGAAGGTGGGGGGAAGGCCTTGTAATCTACTTCTGAAGAATCAGCCAATGAAACCCCATGGAACACAAAGGCCCACTGAAAACCAATCACTGGATTACTCAGGATTTGGCCACCTTCTTCTGGGTGCATGGGTCACCATGGTCAATTTATCATCAGTAGCATAAACAGTCTCACTGTTGTTGAGCCACATCTGGAATTTAGGTGGCCTTCTAGTGAGCTTCTGAGGGAATAAGTCACATGGCAAGAGATCTCTTTCTCCCACAAACCTGCTGGTGGATTTGAACCACCTGAGGCAGTCTTTGGGTTAGCAGTGCATTTCCCAACAGGCCACACCAACAGAGCTCCCTTAGTTAGATAACTGTATATTCAGTTCTATAACTGAATTTAGTCCTTATCTGGTCAGTGAATGATGCAACATCCATCTTAAAATGGAAACATGCATCTTTATTAAACACTACATCTTGTAGGTTGCATTGATATTTTAAAATTTTAATGTATTTGCTCATTATTTTTCTACAAGAGCCATAGAAATTGAATTAGTTAAGCTTATCACTCACTAGGCCAACCCACAGTTATTAGCTGGATGAATCATTTAAATTCACATTACAGAAGTTATTCTTCCTGTGTAAGCAACATGAAAACTACTAAACATGACAAGCCAGCTATGGGCATCAGTACACATTCTCTGGCTGTAAAATGTCACACATCCATTTAAATAGTAATATCACAAATGGTCCCAATCTTTGGACCTTTTAAATTGTGGCTAGCTGCCACCCGATGCTCTGCTGGAGAAGGCAGGGCAACTTCCTCCTGTGCTAGCTGTATCCAATTTGATAGTACACAACAAGAAAAAGAACCCAAACTGTGGCTAGCTGTAGTTCTTCTATTAAGATGTTTCTGAGAGTAAGTGAAATTAACTAAAAATCCTTAGGAGAATTAAGAACTATAGTCTTCCAAAGGAGTTCCATGAATCCCAGCCTTTGACATCGTGATGAAAATGACCTATTGCTCCTGATTTTGGCCACAGATATTAATGTGCCAAACTTTCTGATCAGCTTCACTTGGGGATAAAATTTTTAACGTTCTACAGAGACTACTTTTCTGAATAGCTTCCAGCATCTCCACCACTGATTTGATTTTAATGTGCTTGAACAGTTTAAAGCTGTCCTCACCTCAGATGCTTGGCTAGGAAAACCTGTGATAGGATGTTTCACACTGGTATTTTGCTGTACTGCTAAGATTTTGTGAAGGGAGAGAAAACTCATTTAAAGGATTCAGAGTCATCACAAGACCATGTAGAATAGAGGCATTTTAAAATCAGGTGGTAAAGATTTCCAATATAAAGTATAAGATTTCATATACAACTACTAATGGCATGTAAGAAATACCTTTCATTCTTTATGTTTCCAGGAGAAAAACATACATAATTCTATTATAGTTGTTGTTGCTGTTAGTGCTCTCAAATTGCCTGCAACTCATAGGGACCCTACGTACAGCAGCTCTGGAGCCTGCCCTGTTCTGAGCCAGTCTCACTGATTCCAACACACCTATCCCCACTGCCCCCAGTTACCGCATCAACCCATCTCATCCAGGGTCTTCCTCTCCTGTGCTGTCCCTCCACTGTTCCAGGTCTGATGTTCTTCAAGGGCTGGTCCCTTCTGGCCATGTGCCCAATGTATGTGAGACAGAGTTTCAAAAATCCTAGCCACAAAGGTGAAACTTGTTTTCACCCTCTCCAAGACAGACCTATTTATTTTCTTGGCGGTCCATGTTCAAGACTCTTTATCAGCACCACAACTCAAAGGTATTGATTCTTCTTCTATCATCCTTAGTCATGGTCCAACTCTCTGATGCATAGCAAGTAAATGCAAAGACCTGTATCAGGCGTCCCTTAGTCTCTAGACTGAAAACAGTACTCTGGAGAGGTCCCTGACAGCACATTTTTCCAATGCAATTTGTCTTTTGATTTCCTGAGTGTTGATATAGACCAATTATAAAGTTTCTGAAAATCACAGATTATTCCTGAGAAACAGATTCTTTGTAAGATGGAGCTAATATGTGCCTATTACCTTCAAGGGAGCAATGTAGGCAAACCTTTTCAAAACAGTCTGTAAAGTTACTCAGCCTTAGAGGGCAGAATGTTCTAGTGAAGAAGCTGTTGACAGGTGTGGCTCGGAGTTTGGACTGTGAATTGGACAGCTTGGGACCTTGATTCTAGTTCTATAATTTACTAGGGCTGAATTCTGCAAAATAATAAAACAGCTTTGCATTTTCCATGAAGTAGAGATTAAATTAAACAAATATAACACAGCAGTGTCTGACTCAAAGTAATCCCTCAGTAAATGTTGGCTATTATTATTTCTATCCATATAATGCATCAAATAAATATTAATGACATGATGGTATAGTCAATAGCATATTACACCACTAAACAAAAGGTTGAGAGTCTCCAGTGGTTTGAAACCGTAAGTGACTCTACACGACAAAGGTGGTTAATCTCCCCTTAGAAGGCACAGCTTCAGAAACCCAGCACAGAGCTGGAGTTGACTTGATAGCAGGGAATTTGTTGTTGTTGTTATGTGCCGTCGAGTCGCTTGCGACTCATAGCGACCCTATGTACAAGAGTCCTAAACTCTGCTCTGTCCTGTGCCAATCGCACTGTCTCTGACACTCCCATATCGATTACTCCAGTCACTGAATCAATCCACCTCATAGAAGGCCTTCCCGTCCTGCGCTGTCCCTCCACCCTCCCAAGCATGATATCCTTCTCCAAGGACTGGTCTCTCCTCACAACATGTCCAAAGTATGTGTGACAGAGCCTGAGAATCCTTGCCTCCAAGGAGCCACCCGGTTTGACCCTTTCCAGGATGAATCTATTTGTTTTCCTAGCAGTCCATGGTACACTCAATACTCTTCTCCAGCACCACAGCTCAAAGGCATCAATTCTCCTTCTATCCTCCTAGTCACTGTCCAACTCTTTGATGCATAACAAGTGATTGTGAAAACCATGGCCTGTATCAAATGCACCTTAGTCTCCAGAGAGACATCATTGCTCTTCAGTACTTTGGAGAGGTTCCAAACAGCAGACTTTCCCATGGCAATGCGAATAGCAGGGAATAGTGGTAGTTAAATACCTTCATCTTATTTCTTATTCATAACTTCTCTTTTGTAACATTATAAATTTGTAGCTAAAAGACTTCGAAAAGCCCCACATAATATGTTTAGAATTAATACATCAATATCATATCACAGAACTGATTTAGATTCATAATTAGATACATCCTTAATTAGACAGTTTTGAAAGCACTTATCACTACTAATCTAAAGCATTTGGCCATTTGCTGGGTTACCCTATAAAAGCCTTGATGGTATATACTGCTGACATTTCTCAATGCATATATTCTTGAGATAAAGAAAGTATAAAGCTTTTAGCAAAGTCCCTGGGTGGTGCAAATGGTTAAATGTTCCCATTAATTGAAAGACTGGAAGTTTGAGTCCATTCAAAGGCCCTTTGTAAGTAAGGCCTGGTAATCTTTCAAAAGAATCAGCCACTGGCAAGAAACTTTACAGAACACAGTTCTAGTCACAATTCTACTCTGACACACAAGGTGCTGGTTTTCAAGAGATTCAGCAGGCTGCAATGGACAAAAGTCATGGAAAATGAAAACTTTTAAATCCTACTTTTGCATTCTATCAAGAGATTTAAACAAAAGTAGAGATTGCATCCCTAAAAATTAATTTTCACTGTGGGAGAAAAAGTTATACTTTTTCTGAAAACTAAAATTGCATCCTTTTCATAAGGACTTGAACACTAACTGAAATAGCACTCATCTTGTCCAAGTTTTAAAAATCAAATATTCATGAAAGTATCAGTTTTCAAGCAAAAATACCTGAGGCAAAAGCAACAGTTTTTCATAGTTTCAAAGTCTGTCTAGTCATTTTATTTCCAAGAAAATGAGGTTTTTTTATTTTTTCTTGGTTTTTTTCTTTTAAAGTAGGGAAACTGTGAATTTAACTTGACTATGCATGCAAGAAAACAGATACCTTCAAGCAGTCCCACTGGATGAGCTAGGAGAGTAAATAGATTTTGGATGAATGGTTTTTACATTCATTAACACATCAGAAATGTCTGAACTCCACAAAGGAAGGGAATAGTGAAGAAGAAATTTTTAAATAAGACTGAGGTGAGCCTTAAATTAACTATCTTTGTTAAACAGCTCAGATCACAATTTAGTTTAGATGACTGAACTGAGTTAGGCTGGAATGTTCCAAAGCAATACCCATTGCCAAACTTGTTTCAGACACTAAAAACAACATCCCATTTATAAAACTCATATTATAATCAAGTCAGTACTAACTCTTAGCTGACCCTAACTCATAGCTGACCCTTCAGTGGGTTTTTGAGGCTGTAAAATCACACAGGAGGTGACTGCTCAGAGCATCTGGTGGATTTGAACTGGCTGCCTGTAAATTAGCAGTACAACTCTCCAAAGACTACACCACCAGAGCTTCCTTAAAACCAGTAGAACCAATTATTTCTCCACTGACTAGAAGGGCTATGAAAAAAGATGATTTGGCTTACAGATTAAAGGGATCAGGGCTTTGAGAAGCTGAGTTAGAGGCAAGGGCGGGTTCTAC